TTTTTTTTTTTTTTTTTTTTTTTTTGGACTCTCAAGATCTTTAGGCCTTAATATTTACACTAGCTACTTGTAGCCCCAGGATTTATTATAAATATAGCAATTTGAAAAAAAAAAAAAAAGAAACATTTGTGGTCTTATGTTTTCCATGTGTCAGGAAATTAGAAATAGCTTAGCAGGATAATTTTACCTCTCGATGTCTCATGAGGTTGAAGTCAAGCTACTGAGTAGACCTGCAGTTATCAGAAGGTTTGATTGAGGCTGTAGCGTCTGATGAGTCACTAGGTGGTTACAAGGGTATCTGAATTACTTGCCATGTCAATTTCCCCATCAAGTTTCTGAGTATTCTCATGTCACGACATCTAGCTTCTCTCAGAATGAGTGATACAAAAAAAAAAAAAAAAGAAAAGAACAAGGAGGACGCTATAGTGCCTTTTATGTCCTAATCTGGATGTCACTGTCACTCCAGCTACATTCTTGTATTTATTAGAAATGAGTCACTAAGTAAAACACCTACGCCAGGAGAGGGGAAGCATATTCTAGCTTTAGAAGGGTAAGAATACTTCATGTATATTTAAAAGGCACCATATTATGCTTTTTATTATCTATTAACAACACTGATCTAATTTTATTTTCTAAGTAGCATAGATTCCATGGTATATATCTTCAACAACTTTATTTGCAATAAACTAAAATAGCCAGCCTCACTAGTAATAGAAAATATTACATATCAATAATTATTTACTTCCCTATCATACAAACACTCAGTCTAGGCCTGGTACCGAGGTTCCTTTTATCATGTTGTTTAAGCACCCTCAACATATAATTCCATTTTCTGGTTCAAAATGCCTTCTCCGCTTCTAGACATTGCACATGGATAACAGGAAGTAGAAAAAGAGAAAGTAGAAAAGTCCTTGTGATTGAATCCAGGGCCTGATGCACGCTTAGACAAGTACAGCTACCTCTGAGCTATATCACATGACCACTTTTATTAAAGTTATAATTTTAGTATACTCAAATGTCTTAGTCAGTGTTCCATTGCTGATGTGGGAGTGTCATATATCAATCTGTTGATTTCATTGGTTAAGTTATAATAAACCAACTGCTTGGCCTCAGCTTAGAACATAGATGGGAGGAGTAAACAGAATAGAATTCTGGGCGGAAGAGGAAGTGAGGTCAGACTCTGCTCTGCTCCCGGAGAGACCCGACAGCTCTGCTGGAGCAGAGACGCCATGCTCAGCTCTCCCAGGCAGATGCACGCAATGAAGCTCCTCCAATCCCGGATGGATGTAGGCTAGAATCTTCCCGGTAAGCGCACCTTGGGGTGCTTACACACATCATTAGAAATGGGCTAGTCCAGGTGCGAGAATTAGCCTGTAAGGGCTAGAGTTCATGGGCCAAGCAGTTCTTAAATGAATACAGTTTGTGTGTTGTTATTTCGGGCATGAGCTAGCCAAGCGGCCGGGGTGTTGGGGACGCAGCCCCGCCGCTCCTATTTCAACACATTGCTATGAAGAGACACCATGACCATGGCAATTCTTACAAAGGAAAGCATTTAATTGGGGCTTGCTTACAGTTTCAGAGGTTTAGTCCACTGTCATCATAGTGGGTGGCACGATGCCATGCAGGAAGTCTTTGTGCTGGAGAAGTAGCTGAGAGTTCTACATCCAATCAGCAGGCAGCATAAAGAGAGAGACTCTAGCTTGGAATGGGGTTTTTGAAACCTCAAAGCTTACACCAGTGACACACTTCCTCCAACAAGGCCACACTAATCCTTTCAAATAGTGCCACTCCCTGGTGAACAAGTATTCAAATCTATGAGCCTATTGGGGTAATTCTCATTCAAACTGCCACATCATAAACATATGAACCGCAAACTGAGTATAATGGCACATTCTTTTAATCCCAGCACTGGCAAGGCAGAGGATTCAAGGCCAGCCTGGTCTACATAGGACATTCAACACTACAAAATAGACAGACCTACCTCCTCTCCCCACAAAAGCAAAAGAAAAGAAGAGAAAATATTCATTATACATGACATATCCTGTGGTATTCCAATGCTTTATGCATTATATAAAGTTTAAATTGGGGTAAACCTATGCACTCAAACCTCAATCATTTCTTTACATGAAAACATTCCAAATTCTTTCTACTTTTTGAAGCATACAATACTGTTTTGTTATCTATATTCACTGTACCATGAAATAAAATAC